ACATATTTATTTCCCCAGGGGCACAAAAACCCCAAACTTTCTTCTTTTCCTGGAATATTAATTTCAGTACCTCATTCCTAAATTTCTGGATGCCCTCACAGAAGGGATGAAGAGAAAGGTGTTATTTCCTAGCCAAACCAGAGAAACACATTCAGACACTGGTTTTGGTTTATTTACTTTGTGAAGGTGCTCTAAGCAGATACCAGCCGTGACCTCAACATTGAAAATAGCAGCGGTTTACACTCTCACTTCCCATCTGCGAGGAAGAGGCTAGGGGAACAAGTGTGAAGAAGACCAAGTTAAGAAGAAATGGTCTCCCAGGTCTGGATTTGGCTTGACAGCACCGTATCTACTGAGGCAGTCAGCATCAACAGGAGGTTGCTCCTGCCCAGAGATGCTGCTTCATTGTGTGACCAGATTCCTAAGGGAGTGGCTGCCTGCAGTACGCGTAGGCTGTTCTGTTGGTCCTGAAGGGGGAAGGACAGCTTTGTTCTTCAGGTAACTGCTGTTCTCCGTTAGTGTACATTCAGAATAAGTTCCAAGAAACCAGAGCTGTAGTGCTAGTTGTGTATAATCATCTGCCTGCAACGTTTTTATTGGTTAGGTTATTTTTCATGAAAAGTGGAAAACCTTTACAACAGCCTTTGAAGGAAATAATTCGCTACTTCCGTAGTTGTAGAAAAACCATAGGCAGCAATATTTTCTAAAGTGCTTCCTTACTTATCAGTTACTTTTTAAAAAAATCATACTTGTTTCTTTGTAGCGGCATAGTTTCCTAGCAGTTCATGGACCAGTAGATAGTTTCTCATGTAAAAAACCCATTACATACTTCGTTTAAGCAAATGACACTTGCTTTGACAAATGCACCAAAGTGAGTGATCTAAGTGCAAAACCCACCATTTTTTAAAACGCGGCCTTATTCATGCAACTTTACATCCTTTAAAAGTAGTTTACTTCAATTCCAAGAGCAGGGATTAAATAATACAAAGTTGAAAATTCAATGAAGCTATTGCCTATTTACCCTGAAATAGTCTTATGATTCAATTGGTGCAAAAATCCCTCCAAACACCTTTGTTTTATTGGCAAAGTCATTTAAGGTCACTTTTGCTTCCAAGACCATCTTCTTCCATGGTTTCCACTGAAGGAGTTTTGCTTTGTAATGGCTTGTGGCTCCACCGTGATTTGTAAATGAAAAAATCTACTATGAATAACTCTACCGTAGTCACTAAATTACAGATACTGTCATGAGAAAGTCCAAAACTTACAGTGTTTTTGGTTTTGTTTTCTTCTTAATTTTCAGCAAGACACAAAATTCCAGTCCAGCTAAAGTGTTTTTCTTTGAATGCCATTTTAAACGGCAAGAAATGGCTGCTGTGCCTTCAGGATGGAGAACTTAACGTGACGCCCGATGTGCTTCTTATACAGTAGGCGGCTATTGTACTTCAAATGCACCCAAAGAACGGTGCCGAAGGGCTCCCACAGGCACAGCCATTTGGATCAGCTAGTCCTATGTATATAGTGCAGTCGGTTTGAATCTGTGTAGAGAGAACCACAACTGGGTGGCACGGAGCAAATGTTGGGGTTGTCTGTTCTCAGAAGGCATGACACAAAGCATCCCGGACAGCAAGAGACAGAAGCATCTGCAATGTTGTTCTCATTCTGTCAAGCAGTAGTAGCTTCCATTGGAAGGCGATGGTTATTGCTGAGACAGTAAAGCACTCCGGTTGGCTTTCATCTTCTCCAAGCGTTTTACTAGATGGCCGTTGCTAACTTCAAGCTCTTCAGTTTTATCCAATGCTGAACGAAGCTGAAGGAAAGAAGCAGAAAAAAACACCATAACTTTTGCAATATTTTCCCTTTTCAAAGATAAACAAGGTTTGTAGTTACCAACACTAACTCGCTATATTGTTGGAATTTCCTTACAAGATAAAGCAGCTGAAGATTCCTATTAGTGGAGTAAAACGTAAATGTTGTGTAACAGTCTGTGCTGTTGATTTGAAGGCCACACACAGGGTCATTTTCTAAGCATGGTGCCAAGAATCCAAGGTATTTAAAGAACGTTGAACAAATGTCTCAGAGTTTGCCTCAAAGTCAGAGGCACAGATGCTCAGAGATATCTGCTGGGTGACCTACGCCTGTCTCACTGCCTGGCTTTCATATTTCTGGTTCCCAGAGCTGCTGCCACAGCCGTGAGTTTAGTGCCTTATTCTTCTACAAAACCCACCACAGGATGGGGGGGTAGGAAGACAGAGGTGGACTGCACGGAGCAATATTTATAGGCAGCAGAGCAGAAGGAGTATTTAGAAAAAGCAAAGAGCCACACTGAATAAAAAACAAACCCCACCCAACCCATCAGGACAAAGGTGTGAAAGAAGCTGACAAATGTATTTAAGCTCGTTGTAGCAGCTATTTGGAGAGAACGTGAAGTTCAGTAAGACAAACAAGGTCAAAATTATGGACAGCTTGAAGGTGCAGTGTTTTAAGACAGAGAAACATGGACAGAGTCTATGGATGAACACACTACAATAACAGGCTGAACAGATTGACAGAGAAAGAAAAACAGGCTCAATAAGAACAATGCACATCCATTTAGCACTCAAGTTTAGACTCTAAAGCTTGAAAGTTCAGACTGTCACTCCTGGTAAGGTGTGGCATGCGCTTTAAATAATGAAGAGCTCAAATTAACCTTACAGCAGAATTTCCAGCTTTCTACTGCTGTAATTTCTGAATCACATATTCTAAAAAGACCAGCAATTTGTATTTATAAACCCAGAACTTGTAACTCCCAAAGTAGTGAGCTTTCAGATACAATGAAGGACAAGGACAGCAAAGTAGAAATAGGGATTCTTCAGCTTGATGAATGTCAAAGCAGGCAAACATTCACAACTGCAAAGCAGCATGCAAACCTGAGCATCTGAAGGCTGCTTCTAGAATCAAGTGGCACAAAAGAACTTGAGTTTGCTCCAGAGAACTAACGCTGGTACAAAGCAAGGCATTACAAGTCAGTTTAGGAAGGAATGGTGAAATGGCAGTGGGAGTTCAGAGTTGTGACTGTTATTCCAGTTTGAGTGCTGAAATTTTGGTTTAACATTTAGAACGAATAACTAAGGCAATAAAAAAAGTAGATGTTTATTCTTTACTCTGCCAAGAAGGGCAGTTCCTCCTCCGAAATGCGCCAGACAGGTCTCCCCCCATGTGGCAGGCTGACTGCTTGCCTGTGGCAGCTGGCATTTAGACTTGCCTCTCTCTGTAGTTTGCGTTTCTCTGCTTTCAGTTCATCTTCTACTCTTTCAGCATTTTCAGCAGCAGTTTTGTATCGGGCTACCTGACCTTCCAATCGTATTACCTAAGGTGAAAGCAAATTTTTTGAATTAAAAGCTGTACCAATAAGTTACTCTGAAGCTTTACTCTTCAACTAGTAGTTAAGCAATAACCAAAGAGATTCTCACCTTTCTTTCATAAAATAAAGGTGTATTTTGAGGAAACAAAAATATACCAAGGAAGCTTGGCCATGATAACTTACTCCAGACTCTCATACATATCCATATTTAATATGCTTCCAGCAACAAAAAAAAAAAAGTATAGTCCTTTGACTAAATTCATCTTAGAAAGAGTATTGTTGACATACTCTGGACAAGAGCGAACAGTCATAACTGAACGGTCTTGTATAAAACCCATATACTACATCATTTGCCAGAAGCCACTGAAAAATTGTCAACCACTAGGCATGAGAAAGTATTCTGAAGAGTTCGTAAGTGCTCTCAACATACCTCTGTCTTTGAACATTTTTCCTTCAGTAAAGATGAATAATATATTCACTCTTCCCCATACATAAATGAGAACATTCTAGTCTTTATGACTCAAGTGCAGTAGCCCTGATGCTCCAAAACTCCTGCTTCTTATTTTAAGGGCAAAAATCACAGTTATCATGACTTCATTGATCATAGAATAAAATACACTTTCTCTTTGCATTCTCACCACAGCTAAACAAACAGAACAAGCCAGAAACTTACATTCTGCTCCAATGCTGTTATCTCTTGCTCAGACTTTGCTAGTTTAAATTTGAGATCACTGATCTGTCTGTTGGCATCTCCTAAAAGAATTGCAGATTTATCAGAGATGTCAGAACAAGTGTCAACAGCGTCTTCTAACAAGTCTGTCATAGAATTTCCACGCTACAGGAATCTGCTTGGGACAGCTGTAGAGCAGTAATTGCTTTCTGACAAAAAAGTGCCGAGTGGATAGGTGCTATTCCCAGTCTTGCCTGATTCCCTTCTGACCACTCTGAAAGCAGAATTAACCAGGTACTTACCCCAGCTCTCCTGGGGAATGGAAGAGAGATTTCCAATTGCAATCTTGCTCAAACAAAGGATAATGGTTCCCTCACCCCTAGCAGAGGTGCATGGCTGGCTCCCCATCTGAAGCTCCCTTAGAACTCAAGGCTTATTTTTACTTGGAGCCATGTGGTTATTATACAGATACATTTTCTCACTCACATGCAGGACACAAATGTTCTCTTAAAATCAAAATATGGCTCACTTTGGAGATCAATCATGTGCATATCTGTCCCATTTTCTAGAACTTCATCTTCTGATTGTGTATATTCCATCTTGCCATTCTTTTGCTTTTCTTCCAGTTGCCCCTTTAATTTTTTAACCTGAAGGATACAAAATAATTAGTTATTAAAATAAGGGAAAATTGTGGCTCAGTACTCAAATTCACTCAAGTATTATAAAACAAATTCTATTTCTTTAAGCCTAACTTCCAAAAATATTTTTACAAAAGAATTTTCCTATAAATTCTTTTGGCAAATGACTCGTTATATTTTAAGTATCAGTGCTAATACATAGCTTCAGGACCAAACATAATGAGTGGAAGATGACAGTTTTATTAGAAAAGCCGTAAGTGTTCTGTAAGCACATTCATGTAAAACATTCCTAAAACCCCAAAACCGTGTCTTGCTGTGTGTGAAGTCTCAAGGCTAAGGATATAGTCCATAAATTAAAGCATAGAGCATCCTGCAGAGAAACAGATTGGCTAAAAGTATTTTAATAAGCTTTATATCCACTATGGAATATCACGGTACCAGCAAGAATTACTTTAATTGCTATTTACCCACCTACTGTAATTCCTCCAGCACTTCTTTCTGAATGGCCTGTTGCCCACCGACCTAGCAATAGGGAAGGCTTACTCTTGGAGATAAAATCTGCTTCAACAATTTCTGGACCATATTTGTTTTTTCCCTTGGCCTCAGACAATCTGAAGTACTATTTTTCAGAAATAGTCTTGGGGAAGGAGTTTTAGGTGACTGAACGTGACTGGCTAGCAACACGGAACAGGCACACATCCTTCTTCCTCTGTATCCTGAGTTAACACGCAGGAGAAATGTTTCAGAGGAAGAAGAAAGTGGCAAGGAATGCTCTAAGTCCTCAGCAACAGCAACCCAGCACACATTCTGAAAGGCAACAGCACTGCTGTGCTATACCTTACGTTAAGGCTATTTTGATTTTTTTAATCTCTACTATTCTTATTGCAGATTGAGTGAACACACAGCATTTCCTGTGATTACCTGGTCTAGCAAGGATTCTCGTTCATCAATGAGTTTTTTCAGCCTGTCTGCAAGAGAAAACTGAAAGTTCAGTGCCGCTTTGATTGCGCTGCACATTTCAGAGTACAGCAGAGTAACCGAACCGTTAAGGTCAGTGAAACTAATGATGAAGGTAGTTATGCACGTACCACAGGAAATGAGGCCACAGACAGGGCTGGGAAGGGGCTGCAGCCAGGGGAGGTTATGTCATTCTCACAGAACATGCTTGTCACGGCAGTAGCAGCACCCAGCTGCATGCAAAGAGGCTAATCTTCTACGTTAGGTTAGCATGCAAGAACTCTAGGGTCAAACACAACTGCAACACAAAATCTCACAAATCTTTACAGTTTAACATAATAAAAATACTGTCAACACCTATAATCATAGCTAAGCACATTCTCAGCACTTTACATCTGTGCTTCTTTTAACTAAACAGCACGGCAAGAACATTTTGTGTCATCTCCAGTTTTATGACCATAAAAACATTTGCCCATGAAGTTATTTTTGTTTCAAATGCAGCAGTCTGGCAAAACATTCTTTTCTCTTTAATCCTCCGTAGTCAATTCTCCTGGTCAAACATCGAGCCGGTGATGGGAAACCTGGAGCAACTGTTGTGTTACACCTGAATTTGGAAGTGCTACAGATCAGCACATGGGTATGTGTGGCATTCATTAATAACTTGCACACTACAGAGTGAGACAACTGGAAAAAAGAAATACACATAAGTAACCAAATCACTTGGGTTTTTTTTCTTCCCTATTAAGGGATGCAAAATGCAAAAGCATTTTAACAGGCACTGTATGCAACAAATCTTAACTCACAATTTTTTTTTATCACTAAAATTACTTTACCTCATTAATTAACAACCTTAGTTTGTTCAGGTTCACCTCAATACTGAAACACAGCATTCAAATGTGTTATTAGAAGAGGATATATCGACCTCAGGCAGGTTTTACTCCACAAGTTTGACATGTGTGTTTATTGCAGTTTTATTTGGTTTGTCACCCTCGCCATCAAGTGGTCACCTGTGCAGAACCAAGTCAGTGGGCGTTCAGAGCTCAATTCCCCATCTCATGTCTGGCCTGTTAATTAAAGGGTTAAAATCCAAAGGTCACGCAAGAAAAAGGACTTGTTGTAAATGCAAGGAAAGCAATTGACAAATTGCAGATAAAAGGCTGGTTGGCTTCTACCAGGTAAATTCAGTTGACTTAAGTATTTTGTAAAAGCTTTAAAAATATCAATGCCACAGTCCTCATTCAGTGTAAAATCCTCAAGAGGCCAGTCTTGTGGTTCACCATTTTTTCTTGCTAAAACATGAAGTCAAGGGAATAAAGAGTCTATATTGAATCAAATTACGGGGAAAATGGAAGTTTTCAAATGAAAGTCCCTCTACATGGCAGACACGTACAGTCCATTAGCTAGGAATAATGTGGCAAGTGATTCACCTCCTGGGTATACAAGTTCCAGCATAAGAGTGCTCATTCTAGAGCACAGAAAAAAAACTTCACCTTGGCTTCTGATGCAATACCAAATACAGATCTTAAACGGACATCCCCGTTCAGCAGTTCTATGCATTCATTTTGAACCTCCACCAGCCCTATCCTTTTCTTTTTTTTAGCCATTTGTAACACACTCAACATTGTTACACCTGAGCATTGACATCGAAAAAACAAAATAAAACAAAACCAAACAAACCACATTTTTCTTAACTATCAAGAGTAAAAATTCACAAGTATAAATCCCTTCAAAATTATTAAATGATTTCACATATCTCTATGGGAAGGAAAGGAAGCTTAAGACAGAAATTCAAGATGAAAGAAAGGGAAGAAAAATAAAGGTCAATGACAAAAGCGAGGAGAGCAAACAGTAAAAGAAAGGTCAGAGATATTGCAGATAGGGTTGGGAGTCACAGGTCAGCAGAGATGAAGAAATGAAGTTTGTAAGAATTGGAAAGAGAAGAAGGACTGATGCAGAAGGAAAACTCTAGGCCACTACAAAATTAGCCTAAACTTTGTGACACCAAAGTAGCCAAATAATCCACCTTGATCCTGAAAATAACTCTGTCATGCTAAGCAACCACTGCTGTGGGGTGAAATACACCTGCCTAAAGGAAGGACACCTCCTCTGGTTTCCAGTAGGAAGCATATCAGCTTCCCCCAACCCTCTTCTCTGCAAAACGGATGTTAGTGTTTTGGGATGAGTCTTCAAATCTGATCTCACCATCGGTTCTCTCTTCCCTCATTACAGACACTGTGCACCCCACTAGGACAGACAACATGCCGGCAGCAGGATTTACAAGACTACGGAAAAAAATAATTTGCTAATATTGCCATCTACGTAGAATACTTTTCTGCGTGCATAGATGAAGGTCTCTTAGGTTTCACTTATCCTAAAAGCCCATACTAACACAGAAAACTTGCTTTAGCTTTACCAGATATTGTTGCAGAGCCACCTTACTTTTGCATTTAGGAGACGTTTTTCCAACAAATCAAGGACCTGAGGACCTTGAGAACAGGTGAGCAGAAAAGAGCAATCTACTGAATTAGTTCATGAAGCAGCTAATTACAATTCTCATCCATAACAGTCATTATCCTTACTTCATGTACAAAGATACTACGATGAATAATCAGAGTGTGACATTAATCTCACTCAAAGTTAACTTTGGTTAACATGGTTTCCAGGCTATTCGCTGCACCAATTCAGGGGCTTTCAGATGCAAAGGAGCTTAAAAGAGGGCTGAAGCCAGGAGCTGAACCCTGGGAAGGCCTAGGAGAGAGGACAGACAGGGGTGGTCATGGTTACCAGTGTCTCCTGCTATTGTACAGACCTGTTTGTAAGTCACATGATGACCCTCATTACCGACATTGCAGTTGACTCAAGGAATTGCTAATTACGGTGCTACTTCAGTGGCACAGTTGACCTCATATTCCCTCATCAGCCACAGATCCTTGTATCTCTCTCTACTTGGAGGGGAGCATGGGGCAGGAAGCAGCTGTTTTTAACCCAAATTATATTTGCACGATGTGCAGCCCTCCAAGTAATTAATACTGATGCAAAGGAAAGGGGTAAACTGTCCTTTGGGGATAGGAAGACATCCCATGAAACCACACCAGGAGCTCCAAGCAGCTATTCAGAACAGTTTGCTAGAATACAACTGTCAGATCAACAGCAGGTTGGAGAATACTCCTTCTCCAGATCTGTCAGTTAAGTTTGAATAATGAGAAAACAAACAACAACAACAAAATAGTGAGAAATGCCTTCCTGTCTTTCCCAGAAGAGAGATACTGCTGGGGACAGGCTGTTGGGACAGTGAATACGCATGGGATCTAGAAGACACCAGCTTGCAATACTAATTCTGAGGGGGACTGGAAGACTTCTGTAATAAAGGAAATACTGACCAAGGCCTTTCATTATTACTTGCTGAGTAAGAAAGGGAAAGTAAAAAAAAGTTTCTTCATCTACTGCTTTTGAAAGCATCTAAGGCTAGCTCTGCCTTTGCACAAACCTGGGCTACTGGCTACACGTGCCACAAGGTATGGAACAGAAAACCCAGCAAGCATTTGGAGCTCTGGAGCTACTCTGAGACACAAGTCTTATACTCCATGAGTGGTACAGACTGTCCCTGCTCAAAACAAAATGGGTAACAGAATAGCAGCAAATATGAATCTTGACTTTAGTTAATCTCATGATTTCTTGGTTTCACGATAGACCACGAAAAGACTGATTTTTATATTTTGCTGTTTTGAAAGCCAAAACCAATGAAGAAAGGGACAAGCTAGATCTTTTCTTGTATCTGTTAGATACTGCATGGAAAACGCCCAAAACTGTTTTCAACTGCGTAACTTTACGAAAGATGCATTTGGTCATTCCTCCTGCGACACTGTCTCCTCTAATGGCAAACATTTCACTCAACCCTAGCTGGCATATACTCTTTCAATTATTAAATTTTTAATATAACATCTAGCAGTTCCCTTTATCTTCAAGATGATTTATTTGGGAGACCCCCCCCTCTCCCTTGATGTGGACATACTCAAGAAAAAAACAGAGGTAAAGAATACCAGTTACTGTGGGATAAAAGCTGGTACGTGGACAGTGAAGACTAGAGCTGTTTCTCCTCCTGTGACTTGGCTTTAAAAAGGACTTCTCTTACAGATGCTTTGCTTTCTGAAGTGGAAAAACTAGTTAAAAACAGCTCACCATTCATTCCCTCAACCATCCAGAAGCATTTCTATTAGAAACCAACTCATATGAAAAATGCTGGCATGTCCCTAATTTAACTCAAGAGTTGTTTATAGATCCACCCATAAGTACAGGTGAAGCCTGGCAAGCACATCTAATTATATATTTACATGTATTTAACATTGAAATATAAATACATTTAAAATACTTTCAACATTAAACCAGGTGTTACTGTTGCAAGTATAGGAGAGATAAATCTTTAAATAAACACTGCTACATAATATGAAGAGATGCTTTTAAGATCTATGACTTTTTAGAGTAGCATTTAGCGTAAACCCTTAAGAACAACTGCTAATACTTACAGAAACCATACTGGAACTGTCCTAGAGTTGGAGAGAAGCCGTATGAGTTTACAGTCCTGTTACAGGTGCCATCCCACATTAAAGGTCCTCAAGCACCAAGGTTGCCCGCTCCTAGTGAGATAGCTCTTCTAGCTACACAGCACAATGCAACGTATTTAACAAAGAAAGCTGCAGAAACATGTTTTTGAAATCATAGCATTTAAATAAATATTTATGCAGGTTTATAAACAGTACTCTGGACAGGCAATTTAAAGTATAAAATATGTTTATTTTGATTATATACAGCTCAATACATTTTGATGTACATCTTGAAGTTTTGCATTCTGTACTCCCATCGGTTTTGTAACAGCAACACAAACACAGCCTTCCACACCCCCCCCCATCCCAACACCTCGACTTGCATTTCCAGGGGACATTCATTGCTCAAAACAACTTTAAATGGATTTTTAATTATGCTTCCTCCCAAGCACTACCAAAGATGCAAGAAATACAGCAATGGAGTCAAAGTGTCTAATTTAGGCCAGCAATTCAAAGCAATCCAGCTTTTCAAAAAGGCACAGGGGCTAGTAAACAGAACAACAATCGTCTTTGGTCTGATATCCAACAAGAATTAAGACATGGAAAGTAATCTTTTTTCCAGAAAGGAAGAGGTAACAATTTTTCAGAGATAAAAACATTCCTTCAGAATCATAGTTTGCAAAAAATAATACAGTAAGGAAATGCATTTTTAAACAAAAAATTTATTGGAAAAATAGGTACTTTATATATTTATAGCTAGACAGTACATGATAGCAAACCTAAGCACACATTACAGTGTGTATTGACACTTTCTTCAGCAAAAATTAAAAAAACCATGTGAGACATGGTGTAAAAGGCCTCTTGTGGTACAAAGTGCCTAGATGAAGTAAACATGTATATATTAATTCCTTTCAGTAAACTAAGACCTGTATGTTGTACTTTCTTCAAACTGTATACTGTTCTTCCAAGGTGTTTAGACTAAGCAGATTCACAGTGATCTAACTATATTTTGGAATGAGACCATATTAGAAAGACACACAAAGTGGAATGAGAGTATCTTTTCTTTTTTTTTTTTCATAGCAAAAAAATAAAAATTGGTTCCTAGGCTTTAAATATTCAAAAAGAAGTTCCAACATCAGATCAGCGTTGCTGAGCCACCGAGTTCCTTCATGAAGTGTTAATGTACTTACTGTAAATCTAATATAAGTACACATAAGTATGTACATAAGTTCACAAAGGTCCAATGCACATAGGTACATTCAAGACATTTATAATCTAGGCTAGAAAACAAAAAAATAATTTCCTATAGGAATTCCTCAGTAGCAGTTATCCATGCTAAAAAGTACTTTAACTGCAAGATAGTCTGAATAAGTTGATTTGTGAAGCTTGCTCTTTTGGTGACAAACTTTAAACCTGAGACACAGCAAAACCAAACCCACGCGCAATTTCTTGTGGCTAGGTACATCAGTGAATAACTTAAGACTTGCATCATTACCAATTACGTAACATTGTATTATGATGAGAGTTACTTATTGTAAAGAAAAAACTTGAAGAGTATTCCTAAGGTTTGATGTCTTGTGCAAAGTCCAGGCTTCTGTACTGGGACTGATCACATGGCATGTAACTTGTGTAGCCTTGAGATTCTAAACTTATGATATTGTACAGTCATCTCTGGATTTACCCTTACCCCTTCTACCACCCTGCAGATCCTCCTTGCTCTCATCCTTGTTATTGCCAGCACTTTCCAAATCCTGTTCTGAAACATTTTCAGCTGGCATTTTTTCCACTTTGTTAGAATCTGATGCTTTGATTTCATCTTCCATCGCATCGGTCTTCTCATCAGTTCTACATAACGCCTCCCCTTGCAAGGGCTCTGTTTCTTCAGGTTCATCTCCCTTTTTATGCTGCAAGCTGTCATCTTCAGTCAAGGCGTCTTCAGCTTCTGTTTCGTCTCTTCTTTCCCCGGCTTTGCCTATTTGGGCAGTTTTTCGGACAGCATCATTTGCTCCATCACCCTCTTCTTTCTGTGTATCAGCTTTCTCTCCATCACATTTTTCATTAGTTTCTAGTATCTGTTTTGACTCTTCGTCAAAATCAAATGCATCACCATCATCTTCCAGTCTTTCTTCTGCTTGGCCCTTTAATGTAACTTGTTCACAAACATTCTCATCCTGCTGAGCTTTCTGTGCCAGGGAATTATTTCCACCTCCCTTAGAAGCAAATCCACCACCATGGTGGTCTGCAAGCTCTAACTCTTGATCATTTTCTTTCAGTGTTTCTTTGTCAACTTTGTTTTCAGTAGTTACACTAACATCTACGGCTGACTCCTCTCGAGATTCACGTTCCTCTTGTTTAACTATATCCTGCACTTCACCTTCTAACAGAGTATTTTTCTCTCCCACGGTATCACCTGTTGTTTCTTCACTACACTGACCTGTCTGAACTTCTGCCTTTGGCTTTAACTCTTCTACCCATTCTGTCCTACTTTCCTTTCCTTTCCAAGACTCATCCCCTGCTTCCAATTCTGACTCCTTCATTTTCTCATCTAAAAGACTTGGGTCTAAACTCGTTTCCTGAGTTGTCACCTCTTTCGCAACGTCTGTGCCTGGCTCTGCCTGCTGCAGCACACTTCCCTTTACCTCAGCAGTACAGTCGATGGCCTCCACAGATGCCTTGTCTCGTCTGCCTGTTTCTGCAGAATCTGAACACATCTCCAGCTCTTCTGTTAATACTTCCTTCTCTCTGTCCTTCTCAGCTGTAGCATTTTCAAGCTCGGTTTCATCTTGTGTGCTTTCCCCCTCTGATGCTGCCAAAGGACAGTCCCCTGAAGAAAGTGGTTGGATGTGTGCCTGACCTCCACCACCTTCCTTGTCACTTGCATCTGCTGGGAAACCACTTTCACTTGGCTCCATCCCCTCCAAACCCACAGACTCTGTTTCCCTCATCTGACCCTGAACTGCGTTCCCAACCTCATTTTCTTCTTCAGCTCTACCACCTTCTGTTTTATCAATTCTTCCATCAGTGCAGTCTTTACTTTCAACAAGCTCTTCCTCCAAGACATCTGCACCCTTGTTTTCAGCACTTTCTTCTGAGTCCTGAAGTACCTCAGCATGACTCTCTACATTTACCTCTTCAGTAAGCAAGCCTGCTGCTGTAACCTCTGGTAGCCCTGCCTGGTTAGAAACCAACCCACAGCTCTCACTTGTTCTGTCAGCTTCCTGATCCATTTCATTATTGCTCAGGTCATGGCTAGTTTTAAGATCCTCTTGTTCTTTCTGTTCAGGTGCAGCTTTTTCCAGTTCATGCTCTGTACCTGAAATACTAGGCATTTCCTGGGGAATCTCAAAAATCTCATCCCCTTGCAGAGAGCCCACCTCTGAGTTCTGATTTATCCTTGCATCTAGGTCATGGTGTTCAGCCTCTGTGCTAACAGGCTGTTGGATTGCTGAACCTGCAGACTCGGTCTCCTTTCTCAGATCTTCTGTGTCACCACCATCGTTTGAAGAAGTGCTCCCTGATACATGTTCTGTAAGGCTTTGAATTTGTTCCGTAACCCTGCTGTCTGGTAACATCACTCTTGACAGGGCATCACGTTCTTCAGTCATTTTTTCTGCCTTTGCATTTTCATCAGCATGAAATGTCTGTACTTCCTGCTCCTCAGACTCAGTATTCTGCAAGATTTCTCTTTTCCCCATATCCTCCAAAATCTCATTTTTCATGTCCACTTCATTGGCTCTGCCTAAAAGACCATTGAGAAAGTTGAAGGGACCACGCCATAGCACTTACCTCCCCATTTAAAACCCGAAAGAGAATGACTCCAAGAATAGGTTAATAAAAGATCAGCTTTTGCCAATTACGTGAGGCAAAGCAGCGATTGAATTAGTAACGGTCCAGGGCTTTTGCTCAGTGAAATTCACCACCACCCTCTCAAAGCAAAGAGTCTTTGGTGCTGGTTTGTGATTTTGTAAAGTAAGAGATTTATGCTCTTGGCTGTGAGAATTACAGCTTTCATTGATGAGAACAACTGTTTCAAGCAGTGCAATTTAACAGTAATACTTGCAGATCTAACATTAACAGTAAAGATTTTTTTTTCTCAGCAATATTCCCTACAACTTTAACCCTAACACCACTCTATGCATGCAAGAGTGTGCGTCTGATGCCATTATAATGACGTAATCAAGGATTATTCAGTAGTATTTTACTCCTATGGATCATGAACAGGCATCATCAACGCAGAATGCAAAATCTGATTGGCAAGCAAGTGGTTCAGCTGTTTAATGTTAATCACCCACACAGATCAAAGGCTGGGTACTTCGTGCCCCTTACAGGCGCTTCACCCACCCAAAGGGATGTGGACTTCTGTGTTGTTTTTTTTTTTTTTGGTAGCAGTTTTTCTTCAACATATTTTGAAGCAACAGGTATTAGAACAACAGTGTTTGTGGTTTCAGCAGCTAGCTTTTGGGTCTATGTTGTACCTGTTTCCAAAAGCAAGAGAATAAGGAGAGACAGCAAACATATTACATTCAAAAATATACCCTTACCTTGTTTTTGGTGTTCCAGATTGTTTCCACACAAAAACTGAGTGAGGAAAAAGCAGCCAACAGCTAAAAGCAAGATAACTTGCACTTGCAACAGTTGGCTGCCTGTTGCTACTTATTAGTATGTTCATTTAGAACAAAAACAGGAGGGGAAAAAAACCCCACTATTATTTCCTTTCCTTCCACGAGCATAAAAGTTCTCTGAGTGGCCATTCACCATAACTGCTTAAGAAGAATGGTTTTGCCAGCCAGATTTCTCCTTCCTAACACTGTCCATCTCAGAGTCACATTCTGTGAACTTAACAACGTTAATTCTGTTACAACAAGTAAAAATGTTGAAGTGCTAATATTAACTGCTCAGTAGTACTAGATACCAAGAACAACGAGTGCGTACATTAGTGTGTTTCAACAGCGTCCAGCACTGCTGTTCAGCAGATGCTTAAAGTTCTCAGCCAACGTACAAGTTCTTTATAAGAAACTAAAATGTTTTTTTTTTTCTGATTTTTTTTAAGATGTGTGCTGAAAAATAATGAACAGCGGAATTATTCTAGGCCAATTTTCAAATTCTGGGTTTAAATAGTAATCTCAATGATTGCTACTTATCTATAATGTAATATTTGTATTCTCATCCTTTGTCACCTTGAATGGGAAATGAAGTCTGCCTTAGCAGGAAACTGCACAACATACTTGAAGCGACAACAAATACGAAGCAGAAAAATGCATAGGAAGTGATTTGACAAGTAACATGCTGCGTGATGTGTTAATTGTCCCACTAACAAACACCCAAACTCCAAGCAAAGGTGAATGAATGGACAGACAAGACAGAAAGATTTGAAAGGATACACAGCACTTACCTAGTGTCCCATCCCCCCCGGTCTTTAATGCCTGAGTTGTGCCTGGAATATTTCGGGAAGAATCCAAGTGTCCTTCATTATCAACAATGTCTGATGTCTCCCCGTTGGTGGCTACATCAGAGTCTGGGATTATTCCGTGTTTCTGTGGAAAAGCAAAAGCAATGCTTTAGAGCCTGCTGCTCAGAAAGGGGAGGACAGTTCAGGTGTTCTTGGCCTTGATATTCTGAATAAACAATTGCTTCAATTGTTCCACTAAAAATGGCTGGAGGTCAGAAAAGAGCACAGAATATTTCAGTTCTCAGTTTAGCTATTATGACAGAAAGCATGTGATCCCAGCTTTTTTTTTTTTTTTCCCCCCAAACATAAATCTGCTGTGTAAAATGTTCCTCAGAGAAATGTCTCCTACAAAAGCAACCACTTAATGCTACAGCCTATGCTAAAAGCTCACAGTCAATATTAGGAGGAAAGACTTTATATACAGAAAATTCCTGAAATGGCAACTTATAGGCAACACAATAGAGTTCTTGCTACTGAGCTAGATTAAAGTTTTCTCCAAAAATGTACAGGAGAAAAAATCAGCAGTTGAATATAAGTTTCTTTTATTCCTCTTGCATACCTTCAGTTGCTCCTTCAGCACAACCACTTCATCTCTAAGGTGATCCCGCTCACTCCTTATGGAATCAAAGAAATCTTTCTGCCTCTCTAACACCTGAGTTCCCAACAGAGAGGGCAAAGAGATGTGAAGAAAGGAAGGGAGACAAGTAAAGACCATGAAAAGCAAGTTTAAACAAGAACGAGGAGATTTAAGATATTCAGAGATTCATGGAAGTGGCATGTATGAAAAAGGTAAAGTTTACAGATAAAAGGACCAAGTTTACATACAAACAAATAAACTTCAAATCCAAGAAATGCACACCTTATTCAGTAACCAGGAATTCCTAATAAAGACATTCAGAGCCCAATCCTTCCTTAGGGATCCTTCAAATGAGAATCCACTTTTCATTCTTATCTGCTAGACAAGGTAATTCATATCCGTATTATTTCGACATGCGCCTTGAAGAGGTAGTGCCATTCCCAGGTGTTAAGAGAAGGGCATGAAAGCAGGCCCAGCAGATTTGAATAGTCTTTTTATTCCATGGGTTATCATCATGGGTTCAGTACATTTCAAATAATTTGCAAGCTACTATTAAATCATCTTTGTACCATGTGCAAATGCATATTTTGCTACTAAACCCCACCAATATTTCTACAGAACACTAACAAAAATTAGACAATTTTGAGTTTCAAATTGCTACAAGTTATTGGACATCACAAGCATAAGGCAAGTTTACAGATTTCTTTTTCCTCCTGTATTTAGAAAGTCTTTATGTGTTCTTTGTTAGAAAAGAAAGCCATGTTTTTCTTTAAGAGTGGGTTTCCATTTGACTTTGACAGGAGGTAGTGGGAAGGGATGAGAAGCAAGAGAGAGTTAGAGACTTTCATCCCAATAGCCCATAAATAGCTCTATTACTTCTTTATTAGCAGTTTCTGCTCAGTCTGCAGACTAAATCTGAATAAGCAAAAATTCAGCGCTGATGGAACTGCATTTTAAATAGCACTTCCTTTCTGCATATGGCAAATACAAATGGTGCCAGCCAACAAATTACCCTCAGTTTTGAAGTCAGACCACCTGCTAATTTTTTTCTTGGATATTTTGATACTAGCCAAAGACAAAATCTATTTGCTAGTTCACTGGTAATACAGCAAGACAGCCACAGCAAGCAAAGTCATTAGGGAGGATTTTATTTATAAGGTTTTGCAAAAAGCAGGACCAGCTGGAGAACGACAGTGCCACTCTGAACACATTTCAGGAGTTGACAGTCCTACCCCTATTTTTTTGTCTTTCCACTCTATTGTCTCCTGAAGATCAGATATTTCCCTGACATAGCTCTGCTGTTTCTGTTGCAGCTGTTGGATTTCCTGAGAGACAGGAGTAAAACAAGAAGACAGAAAGCAGGTTAACAGGTTAACAAAGAAGGTCAAGATTGCAGTGATGCCAAAGAATGAACAAAGTCAGTAAACCTACACTCCTGAAGACAATCTTACTGTCCACAGGATGACTTTCAGCAAAGTTAAGACATTTGTTTCCTCTGCATCCCCACCAACGGCCATCCAAAACACAGCCTATTTCATACCAGGGACAAGGGAAAAAAAGAAGTCCAAGTTCAGATAATACTTACCGAAGTACTATTTTTATTAGTCAGCCCTGAACCTGTTTGGCCTGAAACACTCGTATTTCTTCAGGGGAGAAACTTGAGTAGGAAATAAAATTCTTCATGCCTCACCTTCTACACTCCTACTGCTAACTGGGAACATACCAATCAAAGAAGCCATTAAAAAAAAAAAAAAAAAAAAGTTACTTACTGCAAGCATTTCTTCTCTTTGCTTCAAAGCCTCTTTGATTTCCATGAACTGAAACTGCAATATGCTATGAGCATGCTTCTCCCTCTCAAATTCCTATAAATAATGAAATATTAATGACATTTTTATTGATCAAAAATAGCATCCCACGGAAAAAAGGAGAAAATAAGCCCAAACACAAGGAAAATGCTTACTGCAATGCAATTTTTGAATATTCCGCTAATCACAATCCTACAAGAGTACAATTTTTATTTGTCCTTTTCCCAATAGACTATTATTCCACCAAATACAGAAGCGACAGACATCATCTAGCCAGTTTTGTAAGCGCAGCAGCAGGCTGGCACTGAATAGCTTTCACACTCAGGTTCTACAGACTTCACAGATGAATGGATGGGAATTTAA